TCACGCCGTTGCTTGATTTACCCGATGATTCATCTTTGCCTTCTGCAGCTGCGGATATGGTAGAACTTGATGATGAGACTACCACACCGACTATATCCATGACTGCTACTCGAACCTGCGCCGCTGCTTGCTTAGGTGCTGCGTTTGCCGCTGCTTGGCGGTCCTGTCATGCTGCCACTGTTTCCACCGCACACCCGAATTCTGATTTTGCTATGGAGCCGGCAAATTTGCTTGCCAAGGCTCTTTTGCCACCTGACAAAGGCGGATTAAACCCCGGTATGTTAGGGTATCCACTAAATGCATTTTCCAGTAGACTGGACAACTTGTCGAAAAGGTTGGTCATAACATAGAAACCCACTACTCTACTCATACTAATACTACTACTACTGGAATAAATTCTGCACAATGAATGATACACTTTTATTTAAAACTCAATGAGGCATTGGTAGATATGAATCAAAGATATATGTGTCTTGTTTTAACTTGTTTAATTTTGGTCATAATTAATTCTTTGCTACTATTGCGTCATTTTCGTTTCAGATTAAGACTTAATTAACCTTTGGTTCTTTTTTCTCTACATGATGGGCATGGCCAAAGGCTGATATAAGGATGGCAACGAGTTCCACTACCTCACTTTGATGTATTAACTCCTCTGCAGAATATCGAGTATATAACTCAACTTGAACTCCCGACCATAGACTCTCAGGCTTTGACTTTACTACTTCATTTGGCCTTCCGACTTTAGCTAACACAATTTCATTTGTCTTCCTCCTGTTTTTTTGCTCAGTTGCTGCAAACCCGAGCAGATACTTCCTTATTTCACAAGCCGTGGCTCTGATGGTCGCATTAAAGATGGCTCCAGAAGGTCTGATCTCCGAGGTCGTGGGTCGAGTAAATCCGGAGATCAGCCAATGGGTCTTTCGGTTGATCGGAGAATTTTGCGCTATTGATAAGGTAGGATTTCTTCTAATTGCTTGACATTTAAGTCATTCTTTGGTTGCATTCCTCTAGCTCCAGATAACTTTTAATTTTATATTTCGAAACTTGCCATATTTATAATTTTGATATTTTTACTTTTGAACTATGTCGGCGAAGAACTTGGTTATATTTTTGTGAGAATTTATGATAAGCGCATCTGATCATAATAATAAGTTACCCACTATGATTATTGCTAACTTGTATCACTGTTTTTCCTTTAATTTTTCTCAGCAAATCATCCCATTATAAATGTATATTTAGACGAAATATCTAGGAATTCTTCTCTT